GTCTTTGGAAATCTTTGTCTTATTGTCTTAAAAAATAGAATTTCAGCTGCTGAGCTGCTGAAGTGCTTGGGGATGTTTTTACCCCCTTGAAAGGACAGAAGAAAGCACTCAGTAGTATCTGAAGGACCATTCAGATCTCAGGGACGTGCAGTGAGCACCAATCCAGGTAAATCAGGACTTCAGAGAGCACTGGCAGCCTTTGGTGAGGGCATGGCTTGGGTTGCTCAGGTGTCCTGGTTCCATGCAGTTTTCTCTGTGGAAATACTGTTTGAATTCTCTGCTTGCCCTGTGCTGGTCAGAGACATCCCTTCCCAGCTAATGCATCCATAGGGGCATCAGGAATGGTGTTGGCATCTAAGGGGAGGTCAGGTTCCATCCTGGTGAGCAGGAGGGTAGTGAGGGTTTGTTGCTGATGTGCAATGTGGCACAGCACAGTCACTGTTCAGATGAGTGTTTGAGCTCTTCAATCAGCTCTGGTTCTCTCCACTTTTCTGGTTTGCCATCCCCAGCCCAAAAAATAAGATTTTGCTGGACATGGGAGCTTTGCAGCCACCCATCTCTCCAGGATCAACCAGACCTGCTCATCTGGGCATTAAAACACACGTGAGATGCCCACAGAGGGGCCAAGCCTGGAGAGCCTGAAAGGCTGGGAACGGCTGCCCCAAAGAAAAGCAAAGCTTTTCTCTTATCGCTCCCTTCCAAATCCAACCAGCCAATTACACATCAATTAAACTTTGTTTGAACAATAATAGAAGCTTTGGCTCCATGTCAGCAACTGCTCCATGGTTAAGGGGATTGGATAGTAATAGTATAAATAAATAAACAAGAGATGCTTATTCTAACAGTTCATTTTAAAACAATTTGTGAATATCATGTAGAGATAAAATGTGCCTAGCATAAACTTAGCTAAGCAGTGACTGCTTCATTATCAGAACAAATAATTCACTAGCACATCATCTTTGAAGCTTGGGAGGCCTGTGGAATTGTGCTGCTTGTTTATTTTCCTGGCTTTTACTGTTTTTGCTACATTTCATCTGCAGGGAAGGGTTTAGCTGGGGCTGTGGCAGTGTGGTGCCAAGCTCTGGTGATGCCAACCCTGCTCCCACTGCCCAAGTCCCCAGCCCCTCTGCCCTCCCCAGGGCATCACCCAGTGACTGTGGGATTTTAATGCCATATGGGGTGTCCTGGTTGCTTTTTTTGAGGGTGCCTTTCTTCTGTGAACATAAAATCTGCTTTAAGTTTTGCCTTGTGAGGGGCAGTGAGAGCTGCTGCCATGGCACAGCAGCACTTTGTCCCTGCCAGTGCAGGGGTGGGACAGGAACGCGCCTGGCAGAGCCACTACACCCAGCAGAGAGCTTCGAGGGGCACATGAGACCCTCAGGATAGGGCTGAGGAGCCTGGATGGCCCCTTCTGCTCTGGCTGGAGCTGGAGGGAGAGAGAAATGGGTTTGAATGTGCCTAAAACTGGAGTCCTGTTAGTTTTGGTGTTTTGCAGAAGAGGCTGTTGGGGCTGTGCTGAGTCCCTTGTGCATCACAGGGGTGCTCCCAGGGCTCGTGGCTGGCCCCTGGGTGGGCATGGCAGCTGTGGGGCTGCTGGTGGCTGGTGGGCCCTGCTCCCTGAGTGGCCCTGCTGCCTCCACCTAAGGTGTGCTACTGGGTTGGACACACACCTGGTGTGGCTTTCAAAAAAAGGAGTATAAATTGGAAGGAAATTGGTCCAGTGCTGGACGTCCCCGTTCCAGGGACGGTGTTGTCATTGGCACATTCAGGGCATTTGCTGCAGCCCATGGACACTGTGTCCAAACAGGTTTTGGGTCTGAACAAATGTGATGAGGCCAGAAATTGCTGCAATTAATCTCCTGAGTAGTGGTGGCTCAAACTTCACCAGACTTGAGTGTTGCTGTGCTGCACTTGTGCCCATCACTGAGCCCTCACTGAGCTGCCCTGTTTGCCCAGGCAGGGCTGCAGCTGCCCTTGGCACAGGAGGTGCCCTGAGGATCAGATGTCACCTGCTTGCACACACTCCCCAGGAAGCCCCAGATTCCCAGTTTCTGTCCCCAGTTTCTGCTCAGCAATGCTCTCCCCCGGTTTGGAGCCGTGTGGGAAGGAGGGTGGATAAAACAGGGATCTGCCCGAGTCTTGCTTCAGACCTCCCACCAAAGCCAGGCTGAGCTTTCCCAGAGCTTGGCAAGACTTTGGCAAGTTTTATTGCAGCACTGGGTGATTCTTGTGCCTCTGCCGGTCCCCGAGCAATGGATGATGAAGCAACCTATTGTGCAGGAGCTGGCCGGAGCCGAGCATCCTCCGCGGAGCCGCCCATCCGCCCGAGCTCCTGCCTGCACCGGCTGCCAGAGGGGCTGCTTGTGCAAAGCTGCTGCTCAGCTGCAGCTCCTCGTGGCTGTGAGTAGTTCCATTGACCTGTAGTAAATTTGGGGAAGCAGGCAGGTTTTTGGCCCCTTCCCAGGCCTGACAGGGAGCTCTATAGAGCCACTGTAGGCACGGCCTCGCTCCCGGGCAGGGCTGGTGCAGCTCCACCGTGGGTTTCTGCTCCCTTCTTTCAAGTGGGACATTTAATAAGGGCCAGGACATGATATTAGGTGCTGTCTCTTGCTTTTTTTTTTCCTTTTTAATTCAATCTCTATGACTGCATTTCCTTGGCCCCAGCTCTCGGGTTTGTCATGCCTTCCCATCAGAGATGCACAACCCATGTTTGTATCATACTGCGGAGATATTTACTAAATGAGCCTCTGCCAAGGGGTTGAGAAATATGTTTTCATTAAGAAAATTAAACTGACAAGTCCCTGGACAGCACATTAGTCGCATATTTTTTCTTTAAGGCCAAAATGCAGCAGCTAATAATAATGATGAAATGTCCATGCACAGCCAAATTACTAAAATCTACCCATGTTTTCCTGGAAAAGAATGTGGAGAGTTGGCAAACTTGGTTGTAGCTGGGTCTGTGGACTGCTGAGTACAATGCTACCACTGCGAGATAGTGAGTGGTTTGCAAGTTAAGCAACACCTTCAATCAGATGTGAGTCCCCATTTGTTATCCTTAAAGAATTTCAGCTGTATATATTATAGTAGTACTTTGGCTCTTTGTATTTATTTTAGAGGGCTATACTAAAGAACATTATAAACTCAGGCATGTCCATGCTATATGAACTCCATATGCTGAAGCTTAATTTTAAATGCCATTAAAAAAGCACTTAACATTTACAATATATCAGTTCAGCTACTTTAGCAGCTTGGATGTTCTACAGTAAATGAAATGATTGAGGGAAAAAGAAATTCAGAAGCTCAATGTTATAAAAATCCCCAGTGCAGGTATGACACTGTCAAATTGTGTTAATTTCATTTATGGTTTTTAATAATTTTATCCTCCTTTTTTTTCTTTTTTTCTTTTTTTTTTTTTTTTTTGGTTTCATTTTAAAATGCCATTTTAAGGCCTAATTTAAAAAAAAATCTTGGCATTCAGATTGGATTCCTTATACAATTTTTTTCAATGTGTGAATTGGGCTGTGTATTCACAAATTGAAATGTCCTACTGTATTTACCCAGGTGCTTACCTGTAGGAGGACAAGGTTAAGAGGAGTGCAGAGTTTATGAATGAAAATCAAAGAGGGACATTGCTAAACCACCCCTTTTTAGTCCAGGCTAATTACATGGTAAACATCTGGAATTTATGCAGGGCGGTTAAAAGAGTCAATTGAAACGATTTTGAACAGGGCCCATTTTGTTGCCTTCTCCCCAAGCAGCAACAAAATGGTGCTGCAGACTTGGACCAGCTCAGGAAAAGAGGGATAAAGTGGGGGACAAAGTGGCCTTGATGTCTGATGGAGAAATGACATCAGGATTTGGGCCCATCTTAATTCACGTAATTAGAACGAGTCCAGGATGTGGCAATTCTCATCCTCCATCCCCCTGTGCCGACGGGAAGGAGAACTTTGTGTCCTGGCTGGAGGGCTGTGGTGAGCCAGTTTGCTCTATTGACTCGGGTGTTTTTACTGGATGGGGAGGAGGTGGGGAGGATGGAGCCAAGAAAATAGTTATTCTGAGGATGTGAAGTGCCTAATCCTGCAAATCCTGGCTGCTGACATGGCCTCCAGGGATTGGGAAGCCCATGGCAGTGTCACTATCCATTAGGGCCCTCTCCTTTGGATTGCACGGCTGGGCTGGGATGGAATCTGCTGTTTTCACAGCCACATAGCTTTATAAAAAGGTATTATTTAATATCACAAAGAGTCTTTAGGCCTGTAAGGCATGTAAATGTTCTCTGTGATGCACTGGTTTATGGGATGCTCAGTTTGGTGTTGGTTGTTGGAGCCAGTGGGACAGGCACATTTTGGTGGGAAGCTCTGCCATGCTCCAGGCTCCAGCAAGGTTTAATGGGTGTGCTGTGAATTTGGGAAATCCAGGAAGGCCAGAGGAGCCTGTCTGCACCACCACAGGGTTTAACCCTTCATCTCCCCCAGGCTTTACTGATCCTCAGTTCTCAGTTTGTTGAAGGGAACACAGGGGTAGGTAGAGATGGGACCTGGTGGATATTGGGATTGTATGGATGACAAAGCCTGCGCTTGGTTTCCTCTGAAATGTAGTCAGGTCTCCTGACTTTTCACACCCTTGAACAGCAGTAAGAAATCTGCAATTTTGGTGCTGCCATAAGCCAGGTAGAGCCTCCTGTAGAAGTGAGGTCTCCTTGTCCAAGCCTCCCACAAACAGGGATGTGTTGACCCCCTTGTACCTCTCTCTGCACCCTCCTTTTCCTGGCACTGGCCCATAGCCTCCCTCCCTATATCCTTATCAAAATTTCTGTCCACTTTTGCACTGGCACATGCTCTGGAAAGAGAGAATTTAATTCAGGTATTAACAAGAACCAACAATGTCCTCGCATGAATCCCTCTGATGGTGGATCTGCTTTTTGGGCTGCTGCTCTAAGTTTCCATCAGTTCCAGTGCTTCCATCCCTCCCTAACGTGGTAACCCTCTGCTTTCCCAAAGGAGGATGTTTCCCAGTTACAAGGTCAAAGTGACTGGAATGAACCCCAAGACCAAGTACATTTTGTTGATCGACATCGTCCCGGCTGACGACCACCGCTACAAATTCTGTGACAACAAATGGTAAGACAACACTTCTGTTTGCCTGCTTTTCCATAGGAAGTTTGCAATTGGATCAACCATTTGTTGTGCAAACTTAGAAACCAACAGAAACACCTTCCCACAGGAGGGACGCCAACATCCCAGAGCTCTCTTTGCTGGAGCAATGATGGACACAAGAGCCAGGGCTGGAAGTTTAAACCAGACAAATAGAAAATGAAATATTATTAACAGGCTGGGTGGTTAACTGCTGGAAAAAAGTGCTGCTGGGGGTGATGACTTGTCCATCCCAAAGTGTTCTAGGCTGGAGAGTTTTCTTGAAGAACATGATGTAGGCCAAGCACGGGTTATCCTGGCCATGTGCAGTGTAGGAGGGTAAAGCCACAGCCTGCTTTGTACCAGAGGCTGGACAGGATGATCTAATGGTCCATTTTGGCCCTCAAAATTAGGTCTCTATGTGACTCAAGAAAAGTTTTAAATTCCTTTCTTCCACAGTAATATTTTGCTTTTAGGAGAGCAGCTATGAAGCAAAATATGGGGTGGTTTACTCAGAGCCCTGATTCTCTTCTATTATTCTTCCCTTCCCTGTGCCTTTCCAAGCAAAGTTACTTACCCGAGAGGCAGCTGGGGTTTTTGCTCTCTGACAAAGGAAACGTGTTGTTTTCTCTTTTGATTTCCCCCCACAAAATGCCCGGCAGCCTCCCTCAGTGCCACTATTCGCTGTGGTTTCCCCAAACCCTTCCCCTGGCTGCTGCCTGGTGAAAAGCAATGGAAAATTTCACAGGGAACGAGCTCAGTGACATCCCAGAAAGAAATTATTTACTTGCACATTAGGGCTGCTCCAGTTTAAAAAAAAAAAATCCCTTTTCCGTGTGCTTTTGTCCCGGAATGCCGCTGGGTAAGAGGAGTGGACTGAGGGGCTCTGCACCACGGTGGCCACTTTGTGTGTTTCAGACATTAAACACGAGATGATGGATAGTCCTGAACTCTGTTTAATTTAGTTTTTGCCAGCCCTAGAGCTGTTTCCCCTTTTCCTTTTATTGCTGCTGGAAAGTTTCTGTTGTTTTTGGTAATATTGCTTTTATTGGGGTTTTATAAGAGGAGAACAATGTGGAGTAATGAGGGCGTTGCCATTAAATGATGTCTCATGGCTGGGCCTTGTGTCCATGAGAGCTGGTGGTGGTGTGGGGCAAGGGGAGCTGCAGAAGGGTGCTGGGCCAGAGTGGGAAGCAGCCCCTTCCCACTGGGACAGGCTGTGGGAGCCCTGCCTGGCTGTGAAGGGTGCAGCCACACCAGTTCTGCTCCTGCCCACAGGTACTTTCTGCTGTGCAGGGCCATCTCCCTTTGCAGAAGGCTCTTTGAAGGCTTCCAAAAACCCAGACAAATTTTCCTCCTTGAAAAGTGTCTCCACAATACCCATGTGAGGACACTGCCCCAAGGAAATCCCGTGTGGGAGCAGGGATGGGGTTACTCTGCCAGCCTATGGTGCTGAAACAAGAATCCCAAACCCCCCCGTGAGCAGCAGGAGCCTCCCTGACTCCCCTTATCCCAGTGCATCCCCCCAGGGCTGGCAGGAGGGTTGCTGGGATGAGTCCAAGGACAAAAAGCTCTTCCATGTGCCAGGCTGATGCCATGTGTCCCCTCTGTCCTCAGGATGGTGGCTGGGAAGGCCGAGCCGGCCATGCCGGGCAGGCTGTACGTGCACCCCGACTCCCCGGCCACAGGAGCCCACTGGATGAGGCAGCTGGTGTCCTTCCAGAAGCTCAAACTCACCAACAACCACCTGGATCCCTTTGGACACGTAAGAGAGACGTTCTGCAAGGGCTTTGGGTGGAGGTGGGCCCACAATGCTGGGTTTGTGTCTGGGATGTCACAGTTAATAATCGTTAATTTAATAATAAGGGACAACATTATTTTGTGCTTGGGGAGAGTGTTTAAAGCAAAGGGAAGGGGTCTGTGTGCTTCCCCTGCTCTTGGAAACACAGCCATGACTGGCTCAGTTGTGTCCTGCTAGATGCCACCGAGGTTTTCTTTTCAGCCCAGGAACTTTCTGGGCAGCGCTGTGGGATTTTCAGCCTGGCACGTGGTGCATGCAGCTCACAGAAGCTGGTTGCATAAACTCCTGATTTTCCAAGCTGGCTTTGGCAGCCCTAAAAAAGATGAAGTATTTTATTTGGAAATTTTTGATTCATGTGTATTGGGAATGCAGAGGTGGGGAGCACACAGTTATCTGCCCCAGTGCATTTAATAACTCAGACCGAGGGCCCTGGCAGCCTGTCAGGAGAGTGAGTGCTCAGATACTGCATATAAAAACACAGACCTGTCTGGTCTGCACAATTTGAGCTGAAAGTCATGTAAAAATAAACCATCCTTGGTGAGAGGAAGGGAAGAGAGAGTTTAAAATCCTTCTAGGTTTAGTGCCACCAGCTCCTCCTTGTACCAAAGGTAAGAGCATCTAATTTGTTTCATCAAATGTGGGGTTTAACCTGATGGTGTTTTAAGCAGCAGCAGTTTGGAGGGCAAGGGAGGCTGTGAGAAGGGTGCAGAGTGGGAAGGGATGTATCTGTCTTGCTTAAAATGATTGTGCATCGAGCCTCTGAAGAGCAGCTTTTCACTTGGAGTCAGTGTCCTGATGCCTCCCAAAGCTGTCCAGAAAGTGTGATAAGTGTGATTCTGGCACAGCTAAATCAGCTGGAGCTTTAGGAGGTTGACTTCAGAGGCAGGAGAACTCCACCAGCTTAAAACACTGCTAAAAATCCAGAATTTTTGCCAGTGTTTGTAATTTTTTGCGGATTTTGAGCCTCCAAAAGCCGGGCCCTGACAGGGACTCGTGATAACCCAGCCCCGTGCTGGGCCCTGACCCCCTCCCCACCCTACTGACCCCACTGAGACATGTGTGAGCTTCAAAGGCTCCCCGGCACCCTTTAATGCTGCTGTTATTAATCACAGCCCATCTCTGCTCCCCTGAAGGGGGGAAGCACCACAGAAATGAAATGAAACAACTGTGTCAGGGCTCTCTCTGTAACAGTGACACCAAGCCACCCCTGCCACCGTTTGGCTGCCACAGCCATCCCGAGCTGCTGGCTTTGCACGTGGCATTTTTTTTTACTCTTGTGTTTTTCTCTTGGTTAACTCTGCAGCTTAATATACGACTGTTTATGCTGTAAAATGTAAACCATAAAACATGCAGGATGTGCGATGTGGCTGTAAAACAAACAGGATGTGCCGTGTTGGTTTTGCAACTTTAAACGTTTGCTTTTCCTGACTTTGTCATTTTTTAACTGAGATTTTAGCACTGCATTTTAACAGGGAAGATTTTAACCCCCTCCTCCTTTCCAATGAACAGCCTGCTTGTCTTTTCCCTAGTGAGACAGTGGTTTGGGTTTTGGGGTGATATCCACCATGCTGTGGCTCCAGATGAGCCCTGCTCAGTGCCCTTGGGCCATATGCCACAGCCCAGCACCTTCCCTCTCACATTAATGGGAAAATGCCTGAAATAATCTATTTTAAAATGCTAGGTTTGCTGCTCTCTTCAGGCACTGACAACCTGCCTGGCTAAATGGGACTGAACCCATCCTCAGCTAGCTCCTCATTAGGCTTCTAAATTAATAATCTGCTTTAGAGAAGTGGTGCTGCACTTTTTGTGGTGCACATGGAGGAGAGCTGGGCTCTGCAGCAGGAGAGGGGAAAGGCTCCCACCAGCTCAGGCTGAGAACAGTTCTGCTGTGGCAGGGCCTGTCCCACGAAGGCATTACGTTAGGAATAATAACAGCTTCTCATTTCTAGGAATTTGTTCCCAGTGACTGCAAACACTTTCTTAAAGCTCCCTAAAAAAACAAGTCAGAAAAGCCACAGGGTTTGTTTGCCTTCCCGTGCGCCAGCGGAGCCTGCCTGCGTTTCCTTTTGTCTTTGATTTCCTCCAAACCTCAAAACCACGTGGAGTGAGGATTTCTGCAGCCTTGGCTGGGGCATTTTTGGGTGTGTGGGCAGCTGCCCAGGCAGAGCTGAGCTGGGTCACCCACCCTGGCAGCCTCAGCCACTGCAGTGTCTCCATCCCTGCATGGGGTGCAGCTCCTCTGAGCCAGGGATCTCACCTGAAGGACAGGCAGCAGGAATTTCACATGATTCCATCAACAAATGAACCCATTTATCCAGCCATGCCCTGATTGTGCACTGAAATAGCTGCTTAATATCAGGGATGAGCAGCCCCATGGAGATTATAAGAAGTGGAGGCACATTTGAGGCTTAATGTAAGTAAGATAAACATCTTAATTAATAAACTGTGGAGTTGAAGCCTTTGCTGCAATGCATGGAATTAGACTGGAGATTATTTACCATGCTGGGGATGTGGGAAATCCTCACTCTCTGATGCCCAGCCCTTTCTCTGCAGCCTCACAAACCTCACTCCTGCTTGCCCTGGCCTGTTATCTGTTGTGGTAAATTATTAGTTACAGTCAGAGGCATGGGAGGCATTTGTCAATGCAGACATGTAAAAGTGAGCAGGTTTTATATCAGAACAAATTCAGAGCTCTGTAATCTGCCTCAAACCCCTGTGGCTGAGCAGGTTTTGTGGCAGGTAAGCCAGTGCCCAGCTCACACAGCACAGCCTGAAAACTGGGCTGTATATTTTGCTCCAGGGGGATTTTTCATCCATGAAAGGCTTCTTTCACACCAGGCTTAACAACTGAGGAACGTTCATGTTGGAAATGGATTAAGAAATCAGCAGCCACTGTAATGTTTAGCTACAGTGAGGTCTATCTGATCCCAAAGAAAGCACTGTAAGCCACCTATGCTTAGAGTGAAGTCTGAATTTATGTATTTTCAAAGCATTACATGTAGAGATAATCAACCTGATAGAGCCTCTGATTTACGTGGGGCTGGTGAGTGATTCTGAGCACCAGGGATTCTGGCAGGGCTGGTGCTTTGCTCTCTGATGCCATGGGAGTAACAGGGCATTTGCAGAGGTGAAAATAATCTTGTAAGTGCCAGCAAAGATGGCACATCCCTTACCCATTCCCAGAGTATGCTCCTGGGAAATACCTGGCAGTGTTTTCCAGGTGGAAAATGGGAATGACTCCATCACTCCAGGTTATTTTGTGCTAATCTCAGCTACAGAGGATGCACAAAAATCCCCTCTCTGTTGGAAAGGGGAACATAGCACCTGCATTTCTTCAGAAAGCTCATTCAGGGCAATATGTGTGTCTGCACAGTGATAAATCCTCAGGAAGGGAATTCCACTCTCTCCAGAGGTTTAAAGTACATAAAGAGTGGGGTGGAAGGTGCCCATGGGATTGTCCTGGTCTGGGTCAGCTCCTGGCCCTGGCAGGTGAGGGATGCTCAGGGGGGTGTGAGGCTGCTGAGGGACCAGGAGGGGATGGCTCAGAGCTGCAGGGAGCTGCAGGGAGGATGTGGGGAGCCCTTTGGGCACTGGGGCTGGATGTGGGGAGCCCTTTGGACATGGCCAGAGGACTGACCACAGTGGTGGCTGCAGACACGTGCTGGCAGCTCAGGAGCCCAGGACCCTTCTCCTGAGGACTGAGGAGTGGGGTCTGCAGTACCCAGGGGAGTTAAGGATGAGCTGGATGGCAGCTGAAAACATTCCAGCCTTACCCCAGGCCTCTCTTCCCTGGTTTTGAGCACTCAGAGTCACATCAGGGCAGTGCTGGAAAACGGGAGAGGAGTGAGAGCATCCCAGGAAGGGTTTGTGCTGTTGTTGTGCTCTGTTGTCAGTGACTCCACTGAAATGAAACCTCTCTGCCAGAGCACTCAGCTCCTGCAGCCAGGCCAGCTTGGAAAGGCCAGAGCATCACATCAGTATTCTTGAGAGGTTCTGACTGGGACCAGATTGATTGGAAATGAAAAAATGGGAACATAAGGAATATATAAATATATTCTAGAATATATAAAGGTATTCCTGCAGAGAAACAAACAAATAAGCAAAGGAGGCAAGTAATAAATGGAGATTAGAAGTGGAGGTTGTGACAAATAAAAGCAGATATTTAATTCAATCCCCCCCAGCTCAGCATTGCTGAGCTTGGTTGTGTTACAAACTCTGTACCTACCTCACTCCTGGGCTGCTGGTGGTGCCTTTTAATTGCCATAATTACTTTATCTGCTTTTAAAATAAAGCTTTTATTTTAGTTTCTGGGATGTAACCAAGCGAGGTTTAAACTACAGGATATTATAGATGGCCTGTCACTCATGACAGCATTTGAAGTGATATTCCTGTTTTCCTTGACCCAAATCTGCTGTTTACTGGCTTCACTCATTAATGCTGATGAGTTTGTTATTTTTCTTCAGATTTAATATTTGCACACTTGGTTTTATTTGATTATCACTGAAAGCCTTAATTTTTCCCCTAGTCCTGGGGTTTCCTTTTCATTTTTCTATTAATTAAATCAGCTTTTTTCTGCCTGTGCCCTTCAGACGCACTCAGGCACTTTTAATTAGCTCCACGTCCTACTAATCTTGCAAAACCCTAATTTTGATTCATAATTTTTTTTTATTTGTTTGCTTTATGACTTGTGGCCAAGCAGTTTCCTCTCGGGTGCTGGTGGGAGGTTTTATGTGCTGCCTTGGAAGCAGCTTCCCCACCCTGGGCACTGGGATCACCAGAGAGAGGGAGGGATGGGGCCACTGCAGCTCCTGGGGGACAGGACAGACACAGCCTCACCCCTCTTGTCCTGCTCAGAGCCATCTTCAGCTAAAAATTTCCTGTATTTTTATATATATATATATATATATGATTTCTTATATATATAAGGAATATATTTATAATTATAATTATAATTATATTTATAT